GCAGGAAGGAATTTTGTGATAGCTTTTAGTGACTTAAATGTTAATTTTCCAAGATCTACCCATTTGTGGAGATAGCAGTTGGGGAGCCTGAGGTGGAAATCAGGTCTTGGATTTTCCTTTTCTAGAAATAATGCCAAAAAAGGGTTTGAAAGTGTTGAAATTACATCTTGATACTTAACCCCCCCATCACCAATGTCTGCTTTATATATAATTTGTAATCCAACTATATATTTTCAGACCCAAAACCTAAATGAAACCATTTGAAATTATTTGAAGTGCACTGTTTCAATTGACCTGATCTAATTTGGGGTTTATAAATTCACCAGACTTCTTGAGATTAAAGTGTTCTGTCTTCACTTAAGTATGGAAACATTTTTAAGCCTCAAAAATTATCCCACAAAGGGAAAAATGTCTGCTGCTCTGCTCTCCTCGCTGTCTGAGGAAATGAAGGATGGAGTCACAAGATTTAAAGCAAGTCACTTACCACACTTTACTAAGTTACAGTTCAACTATAGCATTTGACCATGTGCCTGTTTTTAGCACAACAGTCACTTTTGATTCATGTAGCTTAATACCATCTCCTCTGCTCAGTCACTTCGAAAAATGTGTTTCTCCTGCAATGCTCACAGAAAGTGAGGTTGTGTTCCTGTGCATGAGTTGCCAATGTAATTTTTCCCAGCAACTTCTCTCCCCTCTCTGAGAAAAATAAGCAGTACCATGCTCATGTCCCTGTGCGTGAGCTCTCCTCTGTCTGCTGTTCAGAGTGCAGGAGAGATTATTTATGTTCATTAGAGTTTGGGATGCATTGCCAATACAGAAGAAGCAATGACTAATCTCTGTGGCTTTTCTTGTGCACTCATTGCTAGGTCGTTGTGGGAGAGGCCTTGTGCTGCACGATCTTGTGAGTTACTGCTGTCACCCAAAATTTGGATATGAGGGGTTATAATCTGCAGCATTAGGGAAGCAGGATGAGCTGCAGCCCATAGGCTGTCACTGCACCTCTGCTCCCCAGAGCTGTTTGCCACCTTGCCATCTGGGATGTGAAATTTTCAGGAGGGGATTGAAACACTTCCCTGCTCAAGTCTTCAGTGGCTCTTGCAACCCAGAAGTGTTTCCCAGCAGTCTGGGGTTTCACTTCATGTCCCATATTTAAACTCGATGTCTGCAGAGTGACTCCCTTTGGCTTTCTGTGGTTTCTGAAGGGACAAGTATTGCTTTAGGGAGGTCAAACAACTCCCACCACCATTTGCTTCAAGATGCTTGGTCCCAAGCAGCTTGTTCCCACTTTGCCACTGATTGTGTTGCATGCGTTTAAGTCTCTGAGTTTTTACTTGCAAGCTGATGCTTGATATCATGGTCATTTCAGTTTTTTCTTTGTGTTTTAGTGTGCCTTTGCTTGGGTTATTTTTCTGGCTGCTATTTGCATTATTCTGTCCATGTGAGATTCTTTTTCTTTGCCATGGATAAGCAGTTCTGCCCTCAAAAAACCTGGGCCCAGACTCAGCTTTTAACATTGTGCCAACCTTCTACTTAGAAATGGATGGTTCCTTCCCTGTGATTTTCAAATCCAGAGTGGATTTGGAGATACAAGTGTCTCTAAAAACGAAGGGCTCTCCCTGCCTCTTAGCCAAAGTATGGGAAAAGGTTAGTAAATTTTCCCCTCAGCCCACACTGGATTTGTGGACCATATTCTTATGAATTTGACTACAGCCCCTAGGCCTGATTTTTCCTGGCTATTTCTCGTCTTTCTTCTTTGTGCCTTGTCTTAGTCCTCAATGTAGCTGATCAGAAGCACTCAGCTCTACCTGTTGATTACACAGAGAGCTGGCAACAACAGCTTGGGAGAAAAGAAGAAAAATAGGGCTGTTAGGCATTTTTCTTCATCTTGTTTGGCTTTTTGTAGATTTGAAAGCTCCAGGAGGTGCTAGGAGAGTTAGCTAAACTGTGAAAGAGAGCAAAATCAAGAAGCCGAACTTATAATCCAGCAGGGATGCCATTCCCATAATGTGCAGAAATACATTTATGCAGGTTGTTTAGCTGCTGGGGCAGCACTTTGGCATGTGGGATAACCTGATTAGAGAGTCAAAGAAAACCCTGTTAGCTCCACAGGCCAAATCCTGCCTTACAGCAACCTGATGTCAAATGGGTGTGAATCAAGGAAGCTTTCCCTTTGGCATCATCTGGTAACACCTTGAAGAGAAGGGTCTGAGCCAGGGTTCTAGCAAGGAGAGAGACTTAAGCAAATACGCTCCCAGACAGGGAGTGAGCTGGAGTCTGAAACTAATGACTTTGTTTTTCCTCACTGGTAGAGACTTGGAAGGATGAAAAGAATAAATTTCTCAGGTCTAATTTTCAGGTTGTATAGAAGGTTTAATGGGGAGTTGGTTAATTTAAAATGCTTGTCTTACTTAGCTGTGAGAATGTCAATCAGTGTGACTGAGCTGAGATTTGGGAGCAGAAGATGTGTGTTTTCAGAAGGCATAACCCATAAGGGTGATTGCCTGCTGTCCTGATCACTGTGAAACTCCCACCAAAGTCAGTGTTCCCATGAAAATTCAGACAAGATGGTTGTAATCATCCCTTGCAGTCCTATCTGAAATGTAGGAGCAGGAGTTAGATCCGTAGTGAGAGCAGTTCGAGGCCACAGTGTTTGGTGCTAAATCCCGTTGCAGGGTGGATTGGTGCTGCAGGGTTCTTCTCTGTTCATAGTCCCGGGTGGGCTGTGCTCTGTGCTGCTGTCTGGAAGGCCGGGCCATTGGCAGGGGTAGCAGACCAGGGGAACTGCTGGGCTGATCAGTCCCCAACGTGGTTGTATGCCAGGGAACTCCTGGTCATGTTGTGGGTGCTCAATGTTTATCGGAATTCAAAAATTATCAAGAAAGTTCATGGGAGAAACATATCACTTGAGGGGAAAGCCAAGCTCTGTCTCAGGAAGTCCCTAAACCAGCAATCAGTGGATGCTGGAAGCACATCCTAAGGAATTGCTGTGTTTTGCTAGCCCTGTTCTCATACTTTGGCCTCTGTTGCTGGCAACTGTTGGACAAGAAGCAAGCAGTGACTTGGTGAGGCAAATGCTCCGTACTTGTGTGTATTCAGAGGGTGTCATAGCAAACACCTTATGAATGGCACAATCTTCCATCAGTATCCGCAGGTACGCTGCATTCCTTCCTTGGCAGAAAAATACAGAGAACAGCATGGATGCAGACTAAGATGATGTGATCTGCTTATGCAAAGCAAAATGGTAAATTTGCCAGGTTATTTCTCCAAGGAGAAAATTGTTGACCTTGCTTTTTCTGGCACACCAGCTGCTGTTATAATGATGATGATGGTGACAGCAACCAGACAGAAGGGCCAGCAGTCATTCTTTCCTGCCCATTATTACAAGGTACGAAGCAAAATCCAGTCTGAATTCAGTGCTAGTCTGGCTGTGCCCTCTTTACAAATCTGTGAGGCAGTTCTCATATGGGTTGAAATTCAGGACTTTTCATATAGTCCTTTCCAAAAACAATCTTTTTTGATCTTCTGATTATAAACTTGTGTATTTCTATGTTTGTGCATTACCAGTCATGTGCAGCCCAGAGATATGTATGATACCAAATGTATGAATATAGAAGTAACCTTTCTGAGCTCCTGGGTGATTCATCTCCTGACAATACATTTTGGCTGCACATGTAAGGACTGGATCTTGCCCCTGAGAATATTGGCTCAAAGAAACAATAACAGTGCGGTCAGTCAAAGCACTACTTTCCCTGGGAATTTTGTTGCATGAGGAAGCAGAAGAACTTCAGCCTTCCTGTGTTTGTCAACATGATCTGCCTTTCAGCAGCTTTTTATGTTTCTGTCCTGTTACATTTTTTCCTTTCCCCACCCTCCTTATTTCTGTCTATTTAAATGATAATCAATAGTGTAATTACAGACTTTTCTACCTCACCCAAGATGCAAATGCTGATTAATGACATTATTTGATAACTTCAGGGTGCATGAAGCAAGAATAGATTAATTTTGCTTTCCTAAGTTTTGCGTTTCCAGTGAAATGGTATTGTTTGCACCTTTGTGGATTGCACCCTCCATTCATGGCATGTGTCTTTAAAGTGCTTGGTTTGAAAGAGTAAGTTACCCAACTAGTGTCAGAAGGGCTGGTGTGGCTCACAGACAACTATCTGAAACAAAATTATCTTGGTGTTTCTATAATTAACTGCAGGGGTGAGTGAGAGTTGAAATGAGAGGAATCGTTCAATGGATCCCACTTGAAAGGTGGGAATTTTTTTGGCTCCAACACTTCAGGAGCAGGCCAGTATGTAAAACCTGTGCAGCAAGGATCATGGCCTTAGAGCCGGCATTTTACAGTCATTATCTCAAACACTGTGGGCCAGAGATAAATGAACCATTTAAGTCATCCTGAACTCCTGTCCTTGCGATGCTTTCGTTGCAGCCTTTGCTTTGCGCTCTCCCCAGACTCAACAGTATTCTCTATGGTGAGAGAGGAAGAACAAGATTTTCATACAAAGCAGATGAAGATATTTTTTATGGGATCTGTATTGGCAGAGCAGTTAGGGGGTCTCTGTGTAGCCTCAGGAGTTTGCACTTCAGCTTTGCACTGACCTCTGTTGGAGCTTGTCTCTAATCATCTCCACTGCAAAAGGTCGCTCAGGCTGGGCAGTCCACAGGCAAGAGCCCAGGAGTGCAGGCTGCAGAACTCCTTCACGTGCTCCTGGCTACAGAGGCTGAGGTGTCTGACACACCTACCTGATGGGCCATCTCTGATTGTTTATCAGAGCTGCTGAGAGAAGGCTCTGGTTTGTGTTGTCACACTATATAAAGGCTTGACCCAGGCCCTGTGCTGTTATCATACTCTTTGATAACTGTTGACTGTACTGCACTTATCTAGAAGAAATGGCTAAAGCTTCCAAGTAGACCAGCAGCAGCCTCCAACCCAGCTGACCTTTGTAAATGTCCCACTGAGATGGTGCTCACATCTGTTGTGTATGTTTTCTTTGCAGAATACACTGGAGCAATGCAGTGTCTGCGCAAAGCCCATCATGGAAAGGATCCTCCGAGCCACTGGGAAGGCCTATCATCCCCACTGTTTCACCTGTGTGATGTGCCATCGCAGCCTGGATGGGATCCCCTTCACTGTGGATGCTGGCGGGAACATCCACTGCATCGAGGATTTCCATAAGTATGGCCTAAGCTGCTGTCAGTGCTTTGCTTATTGTCTTTTCTTGTTTGTCCCTAAAAGTCCTCTTTTTTCACTCTGAGTATTCAAGAAGATCTGAACCCTCTGCCACTTCCTTCAAAGGCTCTTAAATAGTAGGCAGACCTTTGCCCTAAGCAGGCACACTGTGGCATACAAGATTAATTGGTTAGGGACTGATGCTGCTTGATCCCTGTTTGGCTTAGAGTTGAATTCAGGGATAACCTCTGTGTTCCCTCTGTTTTAAGTGCTCTGCCTTCCCCTGCCCTCAATATGTGCATGTTTCTCTTCACTGCCTGTACCTGCACTTTCTCATCAGCGTCTCACTGCTTTTTCCACTGAGCAATTAAGAGAGGTCCTGTCCTGCTGCACTCTGCAGGTGTTTACTTACCAGCTAGAGGGATCTCTGTGGCCACAGGCTGCTCAGAGCTCCTTTTGTTTCTAGTTGCTAATTAGCTTTTTAAAGCTGCTGAAAATACAGCCCTGGTAATAATTTATAGTGAAACTGCTATTTAAAGTAAGTTGAAAGGTATAGTTGCAAGTAATTTCTGTCACTGCCATGCTACCACCCCCATCATCACAACTAATCTAGGGAAGACAGGTAGATATAATCAGAGCACAAATGTTTGCCCTGTATGGAAAAGACAGATACACTACACCCCTCAATTAAAAGATGAAATCAATACTGACAAATGTGAGTTTACATCTCAACCATTTATCTCTTAATTTCTAAGGGGGTAGACTTAATTAGAGCCTCGTGACATCAGTGTGTGGGTCTGAAAGCTCAAAGAAGTAGGCTGACTTGACAGCAAAGGAAGCAGCCACAATCAACTGGCATGTTAGAATCCAACATGAGGATGTTCCCTGTAGCTCAGCTGGGCTGGGTTAATGGGTAGCTGCTGTATGGCCTTGCCTTTCTCTGTCACCAGTTGTGTGTAAGGTAAAATGTGGACCTGAGCACAGGCCAAACAGAAGGTTTATGCTCCACTTGGGCATCTGAAGGGTGTGATTTGGAGGCTGCTCCTTCCTCAAGCCCCATAGGCCAAGGGCTCACATGCTTTCAGGAGAAAGGTTGGGAGCAGAGCTGATGTTCCACACTGAAGTCTTTTGACAGTGACTGCATATGGACCTCAGGGCTCTGAGAGTGGGAAGTGGGAGGCTGTCAATCCAAGGAAAGGACATAAAAATCACTGAGTGAAAGATTGAGGGGAAGATGATGGGAACAGCATGAGATCCAGCGTGACACTCAGGATGTTTTTGGCCAGCCACACATTTCGCAGCCCTTTGGCCAGCCCAGTTTTAATTGATTAGGGATGATGGCCTCCTCATCTGGAGGCTGAGTGTTCTAAATCTACATCCTCTTGATAACAAAACTGTAGCTGATGCTCACGCTGTCACTCAGCTTCTCCCTGAGCAGCACATCCACATCCCCCGAAATCTGCAGGAGTTGTCTCAGGGTCCTGGAAGATAATATTTGGCTGCTATTGAATTACTGACTGTAGCCTGGACAAAGAAATGTTGAAGTATTTTTAAGTACCCCATTTGAGCTAAATGGCACAAGGAAGCGGCTGCATGAAGCAGCATATAATTAATTGCGATTACAGCTCTGGTCATATCATGATCCATTTAAGTTATTTTTCAGAGCGCTCGCTGTAGCCACTGTTTAATTCATTTTTTCGTTAGATCGCAGCTACACAGACATCTTTCATCTGCTGCCAGTGAAATTAATATTTTTCTTTATTCCTGGTACAGATAGATTTCTCTTTTTTTCTTTTCTAAGCTAGTTAATTCTGAGGTGGTTCATGTGACAGGCTGGGTGGCAGAGTCAATCTTTGCTAGGCATTTTAGAAGAGAAGGGCCTTTGATCTTCTCGTGTTCTGATGTTTGCCATAAGCTTTGCCCTCTGTCCCTCTATATCCCCTGACCCCGGCTCTCATTATATGGCAGCAGATTCTGGAGGTGTAAGTTTCCTTTTTTGCAAGCAGAATTTGCAGCCAGGGAATTGGTACCAGTAGGTTTTGAACCAAAACAGCACATAATGTTTCACCACAGGCTAAATGTTCCCAAGCATCCCCACCTGCCTAGGAGTAGAGATGGCTGCTTCTCATGGGAACTGGGAGGGGGCAAAACCAGAATTAATGCAGAACACAGGTGAATTAGCCAGATGGGCACATGGTGGGCAGTATAAGGGGAAAAAGAAAGGCCTGTGCTTCTCTTGATCCCTGAGTTGACCCTGATTCAAGTGAGTCCCTTCACGCAGTGAGTTATTGTCACTACACAATTCTGACTCAGGCTGACTGGAAGAGAGAGCATTGGTGTCTGCACCCAGACCTGTTCCCTTTCAAGCCCGGGCAACCCACTATTGGGTAACTGAGAACTGGTTTTAGCTAGAAATGCAGCAAGTCACAATTGCCTTGGTGCTTCTTTGAGAGTGAGCTGGGAATGTGCATAAGTGGGTAAGATGGCTCAGAATTTTAAAGTGGATGGGATAAACCTCAACACGAGTGTAGTGCATTCTTTTTACCATCTTTATTAAGACTTTTAACCTATTTGTTCCAATCTCCAAATTTTAATATTTTGAGGTTTGTTTTTAAGAGATGCTTCTGAAGCAAGTCGTGGTCGTCTTTCTAACCTTGGGATTTGCATGGACTTTCTAAGAGAGATGATAAAGGGTTGTGGCAGTGCGCAGGTGCCACAATCATGGGACATTCACCTTAGTTGTTAATTAGGACAGGCACAGTATGCTTTGCTGCCCGTCAGATGTTCTTTAAGTCCTCTCCTAAAAGCCTGCAAAATGCTCTTTAATATCCTACAAGCCTGAAAATACATTTTAAGACTAAACTGCTCCTTTCTGTCTTCTTTCCAAGAAGGCAGCTGTGCAAAGCTCCAGCTGTGACATATCTGCACATACGTGTGTGTTTGTACAAATGCACACGTTTCTGGTTTGATGTTAACAAAAACTTTAACTCCAAGTTTGAGGATGACTGGGACTGTCTCTTCCTTCCTCAGGAAATTTGCCCCAAGATGTTCTGTGTGTAAGGAGCCCATCATGCCGGCCCCAGGGCAAGAGGAGACTGTTCGCATTGTTGCCTTGGATCGTGACTTCCATGTCCAGTGCTACCGATGTGAGGTTAGTATTCCTGTCACTGTGTCAAGGAAATCTGTGAAGGACAGAAAGCAAACATTGGCTCAATTTCATCACCACCTCATGTTATACACATGACAGGTATAACCTAATGTAGCACTGGCTCTACAATCAAATTATCTCATTGACTTCAGCATGCAAGGAATTTTTCCTCATATATATCAGTGCAAATGAGGAGAAAATCAGGCTCCTTGTTTATAACAGGTTCATTAGGAGAGCAAGAGAATGTGACTCAGGTAATTAGGGCTTAATATTTGAGAACTTCATAAATTATAGCTTGGATACAAATGTAGTTCATGTTTATGTTCTTGAAAGCTAATGCATGTTAGAATTTGAGCAAGATTGTACAGGAAACTCAGCATATGGCTCAAGATTGAAGAATTTTAATGGACACATAAACATGATTGTTCTTGTTTTGTGCAGTGCTTTTTGTGCTACTTTCCTTGTTCACTTTCATTATGCACTTCATGTAATTTTGATGGTAAGAATCTGAAGACAGAGAATAAAAATCAGCTTAAAGCAATTAACATGTGGCAACAGCTGTGTTAGGGAACCTTCAAGAATTCTTCAGTGGAAGTGTTGCTTGTTGAGTAATACATCATTCAGATGGCAGGGTCAGAAAATGAGGCCAAATGTATTTCTTATCACTGTTGCAGGTTTTAATAACTTCAACCAGAAAGAAGGATGGATTAAGGTTTAAAGGTCTAGGCTGAAACTTGAGGCATCTGGTTCACTTCTCAATCTGGCACTGGCTTTCAGGGTACATATATTTTAAGATGCTGGGGCATTCCTACACTAAATTTTTTACAGCCTGAACTTGGATGTGGCACTCAGTGCCATGGTCTAGTAACCACGGCAGTAGTGGACCAAGAGTTGGACTTGATAATCTCAGAGGCCCTTTCAACCCATCTGATTCTATAATTCTATGATTCTGTGATCATACAGCATGCCTCCATTCTGGCTGCTGAGATACCTAGGCTTTCACACACACAGATGTCAGGAGTAGATGCAGTAGAGAGCACAGGACACAAACACTCACTTGGCCTTGATCTCTATGTACCTCAGCTATCTCAAAAGGAACAACAATGATATTCCTCTTTCTACCACTTGCTGCCAGGTATGTTTACAAACACTGATTTATGATGAAGAGGCAACGGCCTCTAAGTGAGCCCTAATTCCTCACTGCAGCTCCATCAGCAGTCTTGGACCAAGCACTTGTTTGATCACACAGTGAGGGATAACTCCCAACTTTCCTAGCAGCCTTATAAACTTAGAGGCTGAGGTCTCTGGAGCATGCTGGCCTTTAAATGGGGTTTCCATGTGCCTACCTGACATCCTCCTTTAAGACATAACCTTTTTGGCCAATTGTACAAATGTAGGTGACGGTTCTGGTAAGGAGGGCAGGGAGTTTGCTTAGCTGTCACCCTTGGAATGGAGTCTGTAACTTTTTGGCATTAACTCTTTTAAAGAAGATTACCTATAGTCAGATATTGGTACCAAACTTTCTTTCCAGTGATGCTTCTTTTTTATCCTTTTTTGAATTAATAAAAATGTGCTTCAGTTTGATGTTTCTCCAATGCTTAAAGACCTTTGCTTCCTCAAAAATGTGAAGGCAGTAATCTCTCTTTACTTTCAATTGGATTAAATTCAGCAGAGAGCTTGGGAACCCATCTTCTCTACAGCATTGTCCCTTATCAGAAAACAGCTTAATCGTGAAAGACATCATGTACCTCAGCTTTATGCTGACTCAGGCTGGATCCTGTTACAAGGTGGAGTGTGAGGAGAGAGTTTCTTTCACTAATAGATTCTTTGCTTAATCTTGCCTCTTCTTATTTACTTTCCTCTTTCTGTTTGCTTATTTTCTAGGACTGTGGTGGCCTCCTGTCTGAAGGGGACAATCAGGGCTGTTACCCTCTGGATGGGCACATCCTTTGCAAGACCTGCAACTCTGCTCGGATCCAGGCTCTGACTGCCAAGGCCAGCACTGATCTCTGAGTATCAACTGTGACCCTCCCCAGGATGCCCATCGGGGGATATTGCACAAGCTTTGCATGATTTCTTTCCAGTCTAGGGTCTGAATCTCTATTTAAAAAAAAAAAAAAAGAAAAGAAAAAAAAAAAAAAAAGTAAAACTGGAAGGCCTTGGAACAAGAGGGCAGCTTGAGAGGCCATGTTCAGACTGCCTGTGACAAGCATCTAATTTAGACACAACTGTTCAGTAGGGCAGTGAGTCAGAGCAGCTGCTGCTGCTGTATCTGCAGCTGATGGAGTTAAGTGGTCACAGCAGCTAAGTTACCTGCCTGTAGAAGGAGGTCTGAACATGGTCCTACCTATGTCTGTGTTTGATTCCTGTCTCTTAAGAAGTACATGAAGGTAGAAGGTGAAAGACGGCTGAGCTAGTTATTTCTCCCAAGTTATTTTGAGAACCTGGCCAGCTCTCATTGAGGTCATGGGGAGGTTCCCTTTGACTTCAATAGGATCTGTTTCACCAGCAGAAGTAGCTCCACTGCCCTAGAAGGTGTGAGAGCAGACCCAGAATTGACACAAACAATGCAACTGTACTGCACCTGAGTGTAGGTGTGACCTTGTGTCCTTGGAGCACAGATTTGTTATTTCTTATGCCCGTACTTGTCTCCATTCCCTTCCAGTTCACTAGGATTTTTTCTTTTACTCATGAAATTTTACTTTGCTATTGCATAAACTTATTCAGTAGTGATGCTTCCAATTCACAATGTATGAGCAATCACAGAAAGATGTGAGCTTGCACACACTGTACACTACATACACAACGTGCTTTTGATTTACCAGAGGCATAAGCCAGTCATGAGAAGCTCTTTAAAGGATGTGGTGCTGGAAACACATTTCTAAAATCCCAGTGGTTAAAAAAACCCAAAAATTACTACATAGAACTGCAGTGCAAAGCAATGCTCAAAAAAATGTTACACCGCTCTCTCATACACCCCCTTCTAGTGGGACCACTGGCAGTGTTGGTCTCTGGGTAGACATTTAAGCAATAGAATCTTGTTCCACCTCCTGTTATTCCAGTAGGAGGATTTTCCTTCAACTGTAACAGGGATTGAATCAAGCCTCGGGATGATATTCATTTCTCTGATGTTAACACACATGATCTGGAGTTCTCATTTTAAAAAAAAATCAAGGATCTTGTTTCAACAGCAGCAAGAAAGACCCTCCTAAATACATGCTGTTGTTCAGTTTTTATCTTAAGAAAGCTAAAGAAAGTATTAAAGCCTTCACTATGCCATTCTAGACAGTAAGCATCTTTTTTTCCCTCTTCTGTTTTCATCCTAGCCACTTATAACTTGTCTCTGGTGAAATTCATGGCAGTAGAGTGCTGGGCCAGCAGCAGCATTTTCATTTTTGGTCCAGAATTAATACATATGCCAAGATAAATAAAAACTGGGCACAGATAATCTTTTTTTCATGTGATAGTGGTGGGGTTTTTTTTTAGTTTGGTTAATTAAAAACAAATCAAAAAATTAGAAATCCACAGCACACTGAGCAGCTATAATATTCTTGTTCATGAAACCCATAATAACTAAGGTGCAAATTACATAGTGAGGGAGTAATTTTCATATCACTGAATTGACATTAATATCTTATTTGCAGATGTAATCAAAGAAAATACTTTTCTTTGCACTTAAATTAAGAAGCAGAACTGAAACAGTTTCAGGCTGATTGACCATATAAGTGACAAACTGGCACTTTTCAAAGTAAGTTATAAGAATTTTTTTCATACTCCCACTGAAAAACAATGAGAAATGTGGTACTTTCATCTTTATATGAGACTTCTATTATAGAGAATGATTATATCCACTAATGCTGAAAAGTTAGATGAGCTGAAATGATAGGAAACAAAGAGGAAAAATTGTGATGTGATACTGCAGCTCCTGCAAATGGTGCCTTTCCTTTCAGTTTATGGAGAGCACTGAAATTCAATAGCTTCAGCTACATACAGTAAATTCAAATACTGAAATACCAGTCTGAAATCTCTGTTCCTTACATGGTTTATACACTGGCAAACTTCGCCAGTGTCAGGGAAGTTTCCCAAAATTCACAGCTTAAAATGAATCCTTCTTTGTAGAAGGGTGGCATCATTGAGCAAAAGAAGTCCTTCACCAGCACAGGGGCTGTGCTGAAGCAGTTTTCCTTTTTATACTGGGTTTCTACCCTGGCATTCCAAAATTTTACTGCCTCAGACGTAAACAGATTTTTTTGGCACCCTGGCTCCTGCCAGGTTCCACCTGGGCTCCTGCTCCCTGAACCGTGGCATGTAAGGTCCTTCTGAGCTCGCTTCTTTACACACAGCCTGCACCACCAGCCATCAAAAAAAGCTTGCAAATATTGAGCAAATTTAGTTTGAACTAACCATACAAAAACACAGGAGGTCAGTGCTGGGACTGATAACACTGTTGTGTCCGTGTGGAGCATTTTGCATCTCTACAAGCACAAGTCAGAATGTGATATGCTCAGATGTAGAATTAGCCATTCAGCAGGCAGCAAACGTAACTCTGATCTTCCTTACTCTTCCTAGTGTTAAATCAAGTGGCTGATGAGGCTCTTCTGAATAACACTGGGGTAACTGATGGAAAGAAGCTGTTGTGCCTTCCAGCAGAATGTGGCTTAGACCAAGGAGGACTCAAGTCCAGAGCCTTTGGGCTTTTTATGGCCCTGCCATAGGCTGGATTGGAGCAAGTCATATGGCTTCTTGTCTTCCACCCTCTGCATGAGAGAGCTTCTTTCCAATTTCCCAGACACATTATGGGAATTAAACTAGTCACAGCTGCTGATTTTTTGAGTTCTATTTTCTCTTTCTAGAAAAGCTTACTGGTGTGTAGGTTTGGGCTTCCATCCCATTTCAAAGCACAGGGCCAGCCAGGAGATCTAGATCTCTGTTCTTAGGGTGCTGTTGTGAGTTGGGCTGGCATGCAGGGAGGTAGGAGTCAAAATTTTCAAGCATTGAATATTCCATGGATGAAATACGATTGACAAAGATTGAGCGGTGTTGATATTTGAGGTACTGTGGCTGGTTTCTAGAGCTGACATATCTCTGAAAAGGTACAATAATGGGGGTTTTTTTCACCCCAAAATACCAAAGACATCTGCCTGGTGGAAGGAGTGAGTGTCCAAAACACTCTTTTTTATTTTCTGTGGTTTTGCCTTTTCAAATTGCTATAAATCTATATGAAAAATATTGTATGTACATCACAGAGGCTCTCATCACCCACATGTGTATGGAAATCTCCCCTCTGATGCTTCAGGATTTAATTAGGAAATTCTGGTGGACATATCTCAATTGCACTGCAATTAAGAACCACTGGGATATTGCTTCATCACCATATTTATCACATACTTTTAATATATCCTGTTTATCTGTTCCAAAGAAGGAGTCTTTTTCCAAAGAGCCCTTGTTTTTCTTAAGGTGGACTTAATCATGACAAAAATTCACATCTTCTGAGGCGGTGGTAATGTCCAGACTGTTCCTTTCAGAAAGAATTGGAAGATATCACAGACATTTCTCTTCAATTCTTCAGTTTCTGCTTATGCTCCTTTGTCTTTGTCTAGCATTTGTTGGCAAGTAGGGCCTGATCCCATGATTTGTGTGGCCACACAGGCCCCAGGATCAGATTCTAATTTAGCAAAATATTTAAGTCCTGGCGTTTGTTTAAGCACAGACTTAAAGCCATTGCATGGTGTGACGTAAACCATTAATACTAAACTGATTTTGCATCACCTGATCATACAGATTTGATCTGACTAGGATGTGGGCACAGTCAAATTTCTTTCAATTTACCCAGAACACATGAAATGGCTTCTGTGTCACCCTTGTGCCAACTGCAGGAGAGCCACCTGGCTGGTGGCTGATCGAATGTAACATTTGGATGACAAGAGGATGAGGTATTACAAGATGAGTGCTTTGTGTTGAGTGGCTGTGGCACTTTCCATATGGCACAAGTAGCCCTACAGCCAGGTTTACCACATCTTTGAGGGATGGCTTTAAAACTGTCTACTTAAACTTTCTCCAGAAGATTGGGTTGCCTTGGTTACAGCCCAATCCTTAAGCATATCCCCAAGGCTAACACTAGCATTTTGTGCATGTGGTTTGGTTTATTGTCATTTTAATCACTGAACATTGCTTTTAGAAACAGAAAGCAACACCATTTCTTTAGCGTATCTGATAATGCACCTTTAATTTGGGGGGCTGTGGTTTTGGGTTTTTTTAAATATTTTAATTCTGAGATTTTTATCATGGCTGCAAAACACTCGGGTAAATGACTGAATCATAAGAGGTGTGGGAGTACCAAAGTGTTTATCACAGTGAACTCTATATAATAGCATTCCTCCTGATGGCAGGAGTGAGGCTTTCCCAAGACACGGGCCTTAAGTTGACTTTCGGCTTATCAGCAAAATGTGCCTGAGAAGAAAGAGAAAAAGAAATATCTTAAAAGAAATAGTGGTTGTTAAAGAGAATATGCAACAAGTCACTCTGAAATCTCCTTGGACCTGTTACAGCTGCTGACTGGCCATGGTTAGTCAAGCATGACTTAGGTTTGATAAATGTTGGTTTCTTTTGATTTTGAGAAAGTCTGGCAGGCAAGGAATAACAGGACCCAGGAGAAGGTTCTTGGGGGAAATTCTGTCTTTGCCCTCTGTCAGCATCGGATATAAATGTTAGACATCTGGTGCTTCAGCTGAATGGCTCATAAAGGGTTTGAGTTTGTAACTGGTTTCTATTGATATCTGGTTCCTACAGTTGGTTCATTGTGTTGATTTGCAATTTTTTCACTAAGTTGGGTTGACAATACCTCACACAGATTTCAGTACTGCAAGTCAGAGCTATCAGGGGAGGGGTGTTGAAGAATCTCACTGTGGTGAAATTCCCGTGAGAAAACACTAGTGATGGTACCTGAGTGTTGGTTGTGGAGGGAGATCAGGAACTACTCAGTAACCTAAAGGTTAATAAAGTACAAACTAAGAGAGCTGTGAGAACACTATTTCCAGTTGGAGCTGGTTGTAGTTTTTACACTAAATTACATATCAGAAGGGCTGTTTTTAATGAGAAATTCTCTCTTTTTGCAATGTTACCCACAACATTTTTTGGTTGGTTCACCCTCCCCCCCATAATTAAAATCATACTGAATTTTTATCTAAATAAATTTCAGAATTGTTAACAAATATTTTAGTTTCTAAAATCCCGATGTCTTCTTTCACCT